AGACATGTGAAGCGAATCCGCATCTCTTTCTAATAAGATTTCTCTCTTTCTTTCATTGAATACAAAATCGCTAATAAATGCCAATTTTGTTGTGCTTTTGATTGCATCTATAGGTCGACGCAAAACTATTGAAAAATTTACGATTTGCGCGAAAACACAACAAATCGACGACTGAATTGAGACAATTGGAGAAGAATATGAAGAAGACAACCACCAAATAGACGATAAAAATGTAAAGCTTTTTCAATAAGTGCTGACCATTAAAATGAAGATTTATATTCATCTTTCAAATGCGATATAAAATGCTATATTTTGTATCGTTTTTTGGTTGTTATTTAAATTCAATAAAAATGATTCTTTGAATAAATTTTGTGTTTAATTTTTTTTGCAACTTTAATGAATACAACGAAATATTGAACACAATTGTTGAAAATGTGTGGTTTTAAGTGAATTCACAGCTCTAATAGAGTGATTGAGTCCTCGATTCCCGTCTCCCAAACTATAATCTATTCAATTATGATTACGGCTTAGATGTGAGTGAAGTAAACAAGAATATGAATTGTTTTGCATTTAGGATCCGTTACTCTCCATAGACCTCAATGAATGAACGGTAAATCTGCTATTGAATGGTTCGTGTAATGAATGGTAGCCGAGAGAGAGAGAGAGAGAGAGAGAGAGACTGGTCTCTCATATCTGATTTTGGTGTTGAAAACAAATTCTTTTATTGTATGAAATGTTTAACACAATTGTAATGCTTTTGACTGAATGGTGCGCTTATAAGTTAGTTATACAACAAATCATTTACTACACACATGAGAAGTCCTAACAGTATTATGTGATGTACAGTATGTGTAATACAATCCCCACACATCATCACCAGAAGCAGAGAAACACTGGTTTTGGTAGTGATGATTGTGTCCACTCTCTTATAGGCAATGATGTGGTGAGTCGTCCGGTGCTCTCCAAAAGTAATGGTGAATGTCTTCACAGATGAACGGACCGATTAGTTGACGACATGCGTAACTCCCCGTCCGAGTTAACTAACTATAAGTTTTTTGTGAGTCTCTCTCCCTATGCCTCACAATCCCCGCACACATACCATACCGTACTCTCTCTCTTTCATTCACTCTCTCCCTATTATGCAGTGAATATATCTCTGCCTATAATCTAATTCACCTCAAATTTTGCATCACTTCTTCGTGTGGAACCAGTGAACAGATAGTCTGTAATCCAATACAACACTATAAACGTTAAGTCAATACCTTTATTGAGTGATACGACTAGTTTTTTGTGCACTTTTTCTATTAATAACTATTTTTGTGAATATAGAGTGAAAAATTCTGTACAATTGTGTATCAGTTTTACTACAATTTGCTTAAACTTTTTTGGTGTAACTTTTTATATAATTGTTAGATAACAATATGATCATTGATTTGATCACATATTTGTTAATTCTGTTCAGTTATCACAATTCACTTGCGGTGTCTTTTTTCGGCAACAATTCATTTAAAATTGACAATAATTTTCAAATTACCGAAACTAATGACACTTTTGGAGTGAATTTTGTGCAAACCTTTCGTTTGCCAGACGGCGAGAAAATAACTTTATTAAAACTTTTCAATTATAGTGCCATCGAAACTAAATACTCGGATTTGTGTTTGAGACAGGTTTGTGACACTCAATTATTGTCTAACTTTTAATACAATCACACTTCTATGATAAAAATTATTTATTCTCCGTTAAAATTAGTTTTAAAATTCATTTACTACATAATATACAGTAAAAGTCTATATTTCAATGTTATTTAATTGTTAAAATTAATGTTGCCTTAAAGTTAATTATAATACATTGAAAGGAAATCCTGGAAATTGGTTTGGGATTAATTTTTATAATAATTTGTTAATGAATTTTAAAGAAATTTTGTGAAGTAAATAAGTATTTATCTGTGTTTAACGTTATGTAATAATATTAACTTTATATTAATTGGTTAAGAAATGGTGGACATCTAAAGACATTTGTTTTAGCAGTTTATTTAAGGGGTATAACAATTAATTGTCAAAATATAAGCTAAAATTATATGATTTTTGAAAATTAATAATAGTCTGGGCGCTCAAACATTCCCAACCTTTTATAAAAAAAATTGTTAAATTATTTATGCAAAAATATTTTTTTCAATGTAAAACTCCATTGGTTTATTAAAACTGCTAAAACAAATTTAGATATCATTGTCTTTAGATGTCCACCATTTCTTAACCAATTAATATAAAGTTAATATTATTACATAACGTTAAACACAGATAAATACTTATTCATTCCACAAAATTTTTTTTAAATTCATTAACTAATTATTATAAAAATTAATGCCAAACTAATTTCCGAGAATTCCTTTCAATGCTATACAAGATTTGCAATTCTTTGCCTAAATATTGATTTCTATATTAAATGCATTTATTTCATAGCAAAGTATAATAACTTAAATATGAAATAAATTGATTCAAACATTGACTTTACGTTTGAGATGAAGGATGTAATAGAGAAACAAATAATAGTTTAATAGTATATCTTATGGATGAACGAAACGCTAAACTCTAATTCATGTCTAATTTGATTGTATCTCACGAATAGATTTTAAGAATTTCTATTTTCCGGTCTTTTTGTCACTGATTTGTATATAAAATACAAAAACTAAAAGAAAAATGTTTGTTTAAATTGTGCTTAAAATCTATAATTGCAACAAAAGGAAGGAAAACCTTTTGTGTTTAGATGTTTGTGATTAAAGTGAAAAATACATAAATCTTATTATGAAATGATATTCAAGATTTTCTAAACGATAAATTAAATTATATTATTGATTGAATAATTAATTCTAGATCACAGACGGCACTCATTTGATACAACTATGGCTTTCAAATGATGAGCTCATGGATTGTGAATTCACAAGTAATGTGAAAAGTGTTAAGAGATTGTTAAATGATTTTAAACAATCATTGAATAATAGATTTGCAACAAATCAAACTTATTTAAGGTATTCTTTCGTATTATTCTGTATTATATATTATTTGTGATAATAATTAAGCGTTTATTTTAAAATAAATACCAGATTCTTATAGTTTTATTATTAGGAATTTTTATGATTTATGATATATTAGATTATTTTTTCAATTTTCATTAAATTTCGAAAATCATTTCTCTTCTAATCCCTAACAAAGACGGGATTAAGTTTAAAACATATAGGATTTGATATACAGTATGCTTTTTATTAACTATTATTTATTAACAAAGTTTTCACTGGTATATAGAATTGATCCTTAAGTCTAGTTTAAAATGTTTTCCCATATTCTCATTCATATTCCCCGATATTGTGTGCCATAACAGCGCCAATAACACCGACCAGTGGTCTCAGTGGTCGTATTTAACTGATTACAAGCAATATCACGATCGATGCCATCGACTCCACAAAAAACTTCTCAAACAAATGAACTTTAAGTCCAAGTCGTCAAAGAAAAACGAATTACAGGTAAATATATTGGATTCAATACCCAGTAATCCTCTTATGTCTGATCCTTAAAAAGTTGTGGTGTTTTGTGTTTGATATAAAAAAGTGAGTTTTACTTAAAGATGTGTCAATGGATTAACAATAAGAGCTTATAACTTATAAATTGAATTGAGAATTATCGAGGTATAAATTGGTCGGAAATAATGTATTTTCTACTCTATTGTATTTTCTCGTATGTGGTAACTTGTATCTCTAGTTTTAGTTTTGTTTTTTTTATATGTTTTAATACTTATTTCCAATATGATTACTGCAGAGATGGAAGCGCTCAGATTTGTTGGTATTTCCCGGAACTAATTGGTGTGGAAAAGGATCCAATAGTAAGAGTTTTGAGGACTTAGGAGATCACAGTTTTGCTGACAGATGTTGCCGGTGAGTGTCAATGATTTTATATGTCTTGTTGAGACAAAAATGCCAAAAAACTAATCAAGTGTATAGTATCACACATTTTGCACACATGGACACACTTTTCATGTTTTTTTGTTTAATATTTTTAGTTAATTGTAATACAAGTACAGAATTGACAGAATATTTACAAATCAGATTGAATATAAGTTAGAAATACTGTATTTAAGATTTAATTCAATTTATTTACCATAAAAAATTACTTTATTTAATATGTATACATTTTAACCAATATAAATTTAATTTTTATTAAACTAAATTTTTTTGTAGAGACCACGATTACTGTAAAAACACAATACCACCCTTTTCATGGAAATATCATCTCTTTAACTATAGGTATGTATAAAATTTAATGTAAAGTTTGATTTTTTACAATTAAAAACATACAAACAATTTAATTATAAAACATTGATAATAAATTATGATGATTTTGAATTACTTGTAATTACACTTGTAATTTAACATGTTATGCTATTTTTAACACATTTAAAATGTATTATATTTTCTCATTCATACAGAATAGTTATATAACATATAAATTATGCACATGTCTAGTGAATAAATACATTGAAGCATTTATCCCAAACACGTTTTAGCGTTAACTCATTCATCAATTTTAATACAGTATTTGTATGTTTTATCACTTCATAAAACAGCTTATAAACTAAAACCGAAATTGTCTAGTCTATGATAAATGCTATTTATAATAATGTATGGTTTGCACAGAATTTAATAATAGACAGAATATTCTACACTTTTTACTCATTTAATTATAATATTCCACATATTAACCAAATTTTGTGTTTTAAATTATTCAATTTTAAAGTAAATATCACAATAATTGAATCATTATTCTTATACTGTATATTCAATTTGTTTAATTGTATTTTGTTTTCATTAGGTTTCATTATGTGTCCCACTGTTCATGTGATGAGAGGTATGTTTATATATTCATATTTAATAAGTAATGTTTTTCACTCCCTATTACTAAAACATGATTTAATAAGAAGTATAGCAAAAAATTCTGTCATTTATTATTGTATTCCCCAAAATAAATCCTTTATTTCTATCAACAGAACAGAAAGCCTTTCGTTGAATGGCTTTACTTGTGATAAGGCATTGAATAGCCATTCAATTCTCTCATATAAACCGTATTTAACAATAATTGCATACGTTTTCATTGATGTCTCGTCATTATATTATGTCTTTTTCCATAGAAATGAATGTTTCACTCATTCAATGCTATAGTACTGTATATTGATATATAAGGACTCCACCAGATAATTGTCATCCGAGCGGAACAATTATCTTTTGCTTTACAAATGGCTTAATATTAGTATTGTCTTCACTATCAGATGCTTGTGTCCATCAGTGATCCGCTTATCCTATATTTCTGGTTAAATGCATTGTATTCGCAATGCCTTTCATTACAAACATTAGTTTATTACACAATGTATTGTGTATTACAGAATAGGAGTACACTATACGGTAGTGTCTAATATTAGAGACGACTAATAACTTATATATAAATAGATAAGCAATAAGTTAGCGATCAATTGCTTGTACTATACTATGCCTTAGCGGTAAATGTGGACATCACTATCCATTCACTCATTTTCATCAACTATCTTATGTGTCAATCATTTGATGCTATTATTGCTCTCTCTCTCTCTCTATTTACTTATACTTTGATTCGTTAATTGATTCATAAATCTCTGTGCATTTGAGTCTAATATGCTGTGCAATGCATTAACTGAA